AGCTTGCATGTGGGGCGCAGGAAGCTTGCTCCGTCACGATGAGAGATTGGCACGGCGCGTCGCAGAAACACTGCAGCGCGCCGCGCGCGCTGCCGCACCTTCTGCCCCCTGCGCGGCGTGCAGGTCCACTCTCGCCATTTCCAGATTTTACAATTGGATGCCCTCGGCCGCGGAGCCAAGCCACCATGCGAGCAAGCGCATTTTTGCACGACCCACACAACAAAAACAGCAGACATGCGGCAAGCGTGAAACGTGCCGGAGGCTTTGCTCTGCGCCCCCACCTTTGCATGGGGGCGTCATTTTCATTTCCAGACGCCGCGTGCATGCGGCGTCTTTGGCGCCCTTGTGTGCCCTCAAACAACTTTATCCAACTGCTCCAGAGGCTTGAGCTGCGCGCGTGTGCGACACTCGCAGAAGCGGGCGTCCGACCGAAGGGGGTGCTCGCGGGCGAGAGACGACGAGGTCCAGCGCCCCTCTTCTCTCGAAGTCGCTCATTTCGCTGCGTCTGGGATGTTTTCATGGTCTGGGTTTCTCGCATCGATTGCAGACTCGCGCGTCTTTCCCTTTCGAGCTGATTGGCGCCGCAATTCTGGCATCTGCCGCCGAGGCAAAGGCCCGCTCCTGCGCGCAAAGTGCGCACCTTCTCCGGACCCCCTGGCCCAGCGCCGCCATGGCGCGCTCCGCAGGGCCAGTCGCCGCGCTGGAACGTGACACCCGCCAACCATTTGGCCGACTTGGTGGCTGCTTCGCTCTCTGCCTCAGCCTCGTCGGCGTTCGACTGTTCTGCCGTCTTCTCCCCAGCCGTCAGGGAGCGAAGAAGCCGCGGGCCAGTCTGATGCCCCTGGCGAAAAAGGCCGCGCGATGCTGAAGTCGACATCTCGCCTCGTCTGGCCGATGGCCACGTGGCCCGCGGGGACCGTGGATGCACGGGCCGTCGTTCGCGCGTCCAGCAGGTCGATGATAGCCAGCGGCAGGGCGGCGCCGTAGGCCGCGGCGGCGAAACGCGGGGCCAGCGGGGGCCCCGGTGCGATTCACCGCGGCCTTGGAAAGCGGGACTGCGACTCCACGATGCCACCTCATGTTGACGGGGAATATGCGCTCAGGCTGATTCCCAAAGCGGGGCGCCGTGCTCCCGGGGATCTTCGCCGCGATCGCGTCGGGCATGTGCTGCAGAACCAGCTCTGGCTCGAATCTGCGCTCGTCCACCAGCTTCGAGTCGTCGGGGTGGAGGGCCCAGCCCGTCGCGGTCCTCCAGGAGTGCAAGCTCCTGCCTCAGCAGATCTCCGTCGCGGTGAACCGAGCTCGCATCCCTCCGAAAAATCGGAAGCACACGCGGAACGCCGCCTCCGTCTCCAAGTACATGAGCCAGTTGTGATCCGCGTGGGCGAGCGACTCCATTCGACCTGCACGCGTCGCCCCGAATCAGGCGAACGTCGCGCGCCGCCACGCGGAGAAACTGCTTCCCAGCATTGGCTGCCGCGTTCGCCCCTCGGAACATTACAGTTATGCTCTTCGGGTCGTCGTGCGGGCGCGCGAACGGAGCGTCGGCGAACGCCGTGCCCGCTTCCCGCTGCCTGTCCTCGCCGTGAGAAGCGACGCGGTAGCGCCGACGGCGTTCCGCGCTCCGCCCAGCGAGCTCAAGATATCCCGTCTCCTCGCAGGGCCGACCCTTTCGGAACATGCGCGGCCACTCGTCTGCCCAAAGCGCGCGGCATTTCGCCTTGCCGCAGTCCGGGTGCCCCTTCGAGGCCTCGGCGCTGCTGGGGGATCTGGGCATCCAGGAGCTGGGCGCATCCGCTCCAAGAGCTGGGCGCATCCGCGGGGAAACCGTGGACGAAATCGCAGATTTTGTCCGGCGGATCCCCCTCGCGCACTTCCGCGAGGAAGTTCCTCCACCGCGGGCAGCGATGCAACGGGCTCAGAACAAAGCGGTGTGCCGCCGAGTGCGGCAAACCCTGTCTAGGATCTCTCTGGCTCCTAAATTGCTGAGGCTCCTGGGCCCTAGGTTCCCCCTGTTTCTTAATTCGTATGTTCTTTGTCATTAGGTTCCTGGGTCCCTGCTTTCTTTCCTGGTTTCCTATGAACTCGGGTTCCTGGCTCCCTGCTTTTTTCGGTTGCCAAGTTCCTGGGATTCCATGTCGCGGGTTCCAGAGTTCGTGGGTTCCCTAGCTCAGCGGATTCCGGGTTCCTGCGCTCTTGTGTTCCGAGGTTCCTGGTTTAACAGATCCATGCAGCCAAAGTTTCCCAGGTTCCATTCCTCTGGGTTCCAAATTTTGTCTGTTTCGGGGTTCCCAGTCTCCTGGGTTCTTGGAATCCTGGGCGCCTCGATTGCTAGGGCCGAAAATGGCTCAAGTGCGGGGATCTTGGATTCACGGGTTCCTGGGTTCCGAAGCTTCTGGGCTCCTTGGTTACAACGATCCAGAATTCCTCGTTTCGAAGGCTCCAAGGTGCTGGGGTCCAAGAACGCGGGCTCCCGAATGCTGGGTTCGTCGGTTCCTGGCTTCTTGGCTTCGCGGGTTCCTCGTTTTTTGATGTCCCAGCTTCCTTAGCTCGCGAATTCCTCGGTTCTTGACTTCTGAAATTCATGGGCTCCTGGGTTTCAACGCTTCCAAGAGCCGGGCGTCCCCAAGTTTTTCGACCTGCCCTGAGCTCCAGCCAACATTGCGAACAAGTCTGCGGGAGGGGCGGCATACCAACGTACGGGCCGTAAAAAGTGGTCCGCAACCAATCGAGATCTGGTGTCGTAAATCTTCTGTGGCCGAACCCTCCCCCTTCCTCCCCCTTCCTCCTCCTCCTCCTCCTCCTCCTCCTTCTCCTCGCCCTCGTCCTTGCCCACGCGGTCTGTTGCAGTCGTGGGTTCATTGGATCCTGGGTTTAAGGATTACTCCGTTCTTGGGACCGCCTGCGCCCCAGGCAAGCAAAAAACTGGCATTTGGGATCCTGGGTTCGTGGGCTGGGTCCCTGGCTCCTGGGCGGGGTCCCCAAGTTCCTGGGATTCTGCGTTCCTCGGTTCTTCAACTCCTTGATTCCTCGGAAAATATTCCAGGCGCATATTGCGACAAGAAGGGGTGGTTCCAGCCCTCAATTTTTACGAGGGGGCGTATTCCACCCGCCCACGGTGTCGGCTCCAGCCCTGCATTTTTACCGAGCGCGAGCGTTCCAGCCGCCCACGGCGTGGGGTCCAACCATAGCAAGAGCGTTCCAGCCGCACATGGCGTGGGCTCCAGCCATGCACTTTTACCGAGCGCGATCGTCCCAGCCGCCCACGGCGCGGGTTCCAGCTATGGATGTTTACCGAGCGCGACCGTTCCAGCCGCCCACGGCGCGGGTTCCAGCCATGCATTTTTACCGAGCGTGAGCGTTCGTGAGTTCACGCGGCCCTCGGGCAGGTTTGACTACTGTCGCACGAGTAGGCAGCTAGAGCGAGCAACGCCTCCACCGCGTCCTAAACAGATTACAGTCACTAGACAAACACACTTCGTCAAACTTATCACTAGCAAATTAGTCCATTGACTGTAAGAACCTGGATTCCTAGCCGATCCCGGGGTCCTGATATCTCCAGCAGCAGCACCGCAGCAAGACGGCCAACGAGGCCCCCCGACGGCCCCAAGAGACTCAAAAAAGGCCTCCAAGAAGGCCCCAATGGGCCCCAAAGAAACTTCCAAGAGGCCGTTTAACGGCCCCAAGAAGCCGCCAAGACACCCACGGAATTGTTTTTGAACGGCGCGATATTGCTATGCTCATCGGAATTTGGGCCTGACGCTGCCTTGTGCTGAGACGCGGTGAATGTCCATGGCCCTCGTGGACACTCGCACGCTCGTGCCTGAGCTGAAACGGGGGAGGGCGCATCCGCCCCCCGTGGCACTGGCAACGCCCCGGGGCGGGCAGAACGACACGACGGAACTTCGCGGCAGACTAGCAGGGCAAACCACAAAACGCCGTCTATACGTACTCTGGACGTGCACCCCGCGAAGCGAGAATAATAATTGTGAACAATCAACAAGGGGGGGGGGGGGGGGAGCGCTAACACCGGTCTCGGAGAGGGGGTATATTCGAATTCACTTTGCGAAAAAACTGCGCGGTGCAAAATGGGTGTCTCATGCGATTTGCGAAAGAAGTGTGGTGCGGCATCTATATCTTTATATATATATATATATGTTTATATATGTGTATGTTTGATGCAAATTTGAAGTCGTGCAATCTTTGTGTGCCAAACTATTGTATGCAGTCTGTGTGGTGCAGTATCTGCGGCGCAAGCTACGTGCTGTATGCTATACGGTTCGACCTATGTGGTGGAATCGATGTGGTGCAATATTTGTGGGACGACCGATCTGGTGCAATCGATGTACTGTGTCGTGTGATTTTAGGGTTGCTAACAATGTGGAACAATATATGCGTGTGCCGCAGACTGTGGGCACCATCCATGTGTGCATCCGGAGACGCCACCCGATGCACGAGTGCCCACGAAGCGCCAACGGCCGGACACCCGCCGCCGGAAGCCCAGGAAAGCCAGCCAGCGCAAGAGGCGCCCACGAGGCGCCGACGAATTGGCACTGTGAGAAAGACCAGGCAAGCAACCGGCCGGTGCACGGGGTGCCCAGGAGGCGCCCACGGGCGATAGACCAGGACAAGCAAGCCGATCACCCTCACAAAAGAAGCAAGACCCCTAGCGCAAGCACTGTCTGGGGAAATCTGAGTTCACATCCAAATCTAATGCAACCCGCGGCACATCTTTTGCCGATCTTACGTTGCGTGAGGTGCCCCATGATTAAGTGGCTTGTCCTCGAAGGACCTGCGCCAGGGCGCTCACGAAATAACAGCACCCTCGAGCCGCAGCGCGTGATCGGTGCGACCCCTCCTGCGAATAACCAGCCTGGCGACGACGAGGACTACCAGGACGCGGGCGAGGGCGAGGGGCCAACATGACGCCCTATAAATTCAAAAGAGCTTGCAGCATGTGAGCGAGGACCGTGTAAAACTCACGAGGCCCCCCCTCCCACCTGATCCAGCAGCGCGGCTTGTGCGCCCCGCCAGGCCATCGAGGCGCCAGGAACCTCGGATGGTCAAATGAGAGGAAGGACAAACGCGAGGACAATGTTACAACATCGTAAAACCCTCTCTCAAGGGCTAGTGGAAACGTCCTCTCTCGGTGGCGATTGGAATCGGCCTGGCATTGTTTAACCATTTTCAGAAATCTCGATCCTGATAATGAAAACAGTGAAACAAAACAATTCACCGGAAAAGACAAAATGGCTCCGGGATTGCAACCGGAACCAAAACCAAAAAACAAACGACGACGGATCCAGAAAACAACTGCGCCGGAACAATGAATAAAACGACAAAGCGAGAACGGAAACACATCGGCCCTGTCGTTTCCAAGAACAACTAAGAGCCCCCCCCCCGCGCATAGGATGTTTTGGTGCATGAGTGCGCGCTCATACGCGGGTGTGCTGCGTGTTTCTGTGCTGCCATTCATGCGCTCAGGCATCAGGCGACAAATGCCGAGGCAGAGGATATGAGGGCGATCGTCGGGGGAGCGATGGGAAGACAGGTGTGGGCAAACACCGAAGGGGGCATTAAGAAAGGGTGGAAAAGGAGGAGTGGGAGAAGCGAGGATCCTGAAGCGAAGACTCTGTAGCCCAATCGCCCAATGGGTGCCTCAAGCGGTCCCGCTGAAGCATTCGCGTGGCCAAAGCCGCAGGCGCAATCAAGGGAAGAGGCGGCAGCCAGCCGGAATAGGAAGGCGAGCGCCCGCGCGCACAGGCAAGCGCGAGAAGCCTTGATGACTGCCCGTAGCAATCAACCCGGGGCGAACCACGCCGCAAGAGCATGCAAAGAGAGGGAAAGAAAAAAAGAGAGAGAGGCAGACACGACGACAACGACGAGGACGACGAGAGGAGAGGCATCAACAAACAGCACGTGCGTCAACACGTGGGTGGTCAGGACGCCTTGGGGGTCCCGCTGCGGCCATCCTGGCGAACACGAGAACAACGTGAGCACGAGGGAGAAGGACAGACCAACGACGACGGCGAGCGATCAGAAGAGGCCAAAGCTGGGCTACAAAAGAAGGCGAACGCCGACGAACGACGAGAGAGAGAGAAACCACTGGACTGGGGCATCGGGCTGGGGCAACTCCGTCCCATATGGATGAGGGAGGCTTGGATAGCTGACGCGCGCCTTGTAACCCAACTCGCTCCATCCCTCACACATTTTCAGGAAAGCTGCCAAGCCGGCTCGCTCTCCGGAATTATCCTGGCGAAGGACCCAACCATGCGCAATTGTGAATACCGCAATTCGGGATATCATCTTTGCCCGCGCTCCATATGGGGCCACGAACCGTGCGAGGGGCGCGCCGAGATGCGTGGCGGGGCACGCGACGCGAGCGAAGACGATAGGTCTGCGTGCGAGAGACTAAGCGCGAGTGAGTCAGATTGTGAATGAATCTGCGTGCGAATCAGTCCACGCGCATAAGCGTCGACGCCCATGTCGGCGCGCTCCTCCCGAGGATCGCGCCCGCTTCCTTCCCTTGTTTTTTTTGTTTTGTTTTCTCTCTCTCTCTCTCTGTTTATCTCTCTCTCTCTCTCTCTCTCTCTCTCTTCTCTCTCTCTCTCTCTCTCTCTCTCTCTCTCTCTCTCTCTCTCTCTCTCTCTCTCTCTCTCTCTCTCTCTCTCTCTCTCTCTCTCTCTCTCTCTCTCTCTCTCTTTCTTTTTTTCTTTCTCTCTCTCTCTCTCTCTCTCTCTCTCTCTCTCTCTCTTTGCCTGCGCGCGCCCGCGTCCGAGGCTGCGGGCGCGGCGCCGCACGGGGCCCCCGCGACGCACGCCGGTCGCCCCGAAGGGGTCTTGGCGACGCGCGCGGGTCGTCCGCTGCGCGGAGCAGAGAGAGCTGGCTGGCTGATAGCGGGCAAGGCTGTGGCCGCCGGGCAGAGAGACGACGGGGGCGAGCGAGGCTCCGGGCAGAGCGCGGCGCGGAATTCCCGCGACGCGCGCTGGTCGCCCTGGGAGGGCCCCAGCGACGCGCGCGGGTTGCCCGCGGCGCGAAGCCAAACAGTCAGACCGTCGAGAGACGGCGAGGCTCGGGCGGGTCGCTTTTCAAGTCGAGCCTCGCGGATAAACTCGGTGAAGCCCAGCTCCCTGGCGAGGGCCGTCGCCTCCCTCCTGCGCCGCTCCGTGCGCGTAGCAAACTGCTCCAGCTGCTTCCGCAGTCCCTCTGGCGGCCCTGCTGGGAACTCGATGCGCGGCGCCCGCGTGAGAAGGAGGTCCTCGTAGCGCGTGGCGCGCGAGAGCAGCGCATAGAGCTCCAGCCGCCGGTCGTCGTCCTCCTTCCTGCCGTTCCCCACCTCGTGGCGGCCGCAGTCTGGGATCACGCCTGGGCGACGTCGGCCGAGGGGGCAGCGCGCTGGACAGCCGACGGCCCATGGCGAGAGTCCACGAGACGGAGAGAAGGTTTCCAAGACGTGTGAGGGACCACGGAACGTGTGAGGGGCGTGCCAAAATCGGGCGGCGCCGCCATGCGGGCTGCGCCACTGGGACCCTAGATGGGGCTCCCTGTGGGGCCACGAAGCGTGTGAGGGGTGTGCCAAAATGGGGCGGCGCCGCCATGCGGGCTGTCCTTAGGTGGGGCCCCCTATGGGGCCACGAAGCGCGTGAGGGGTGTGCCAAAATGGAACGGCGCCGCCATGCGGGCTGCGCCACTGGGACCTTGGATGGAGCTCCCTATGGGGCCATGAAACGTGTGAGGGGTGTGCCAAGATTGTGCGGCACCGCCATGCGGGCTTTGCCACTGGGACGTCAGGTGGAGCTCCCTATGGGGCCACGAAGCGTGTGAAGGGTGTGCCTAAATGGAGCGGCGCCGCCATGCGGGTTGCGCCACTGGGACCTTAGATGGAGCCCCGTATGGGGCCACGAAACGTGTGAGGGCTGTACCAGAATCGGGCGGCGCCGCCATGCGGGCTGCGCCACTGGGACTCCAGGTGGAGCTCCCTATGGGGCAACGAAACGTGTGAGGGGTGTACCAAAATCTGGCGGCGCCGCCATGCGGGCTGCGCCACTGGGGCGTCAGGTGGAGCTCCCTATGGGGCCACGAAACGTGTGAGGGGTGTGTCAAAATGGGGCGGCGCCGCCATGCGGGCTGCGCCACTGGGACCTTAGGTGGAACCCCCTATGGGGCCACGAAACGTGTGAGGGGTGTGCCGAAACAGAGACATGCGGAGAGCAAAGGCAAGGAGGGGGAGGAGGGAGGAGGGGGGAGGAGGGGAGGAGGAGGAGAGGAGAACGCGGGGCGACGTCTCTTCGAAACGACGAGGACCCAACACCACAGGATGGTTGGGGAAAAAAGTCGATCCGCAAGCCTATCCAGCCAAGTGCCGACAAGACGTCTGATGTGGACCTGCACTGAAGTAGTCGCACACGTTCTAGGCCCACTGACAAAGCTGCTAGCACGAGTGCTTCGCCGGAGCTGGGTTTAACTGCCGGGGTTGATACCATAAACCTCTGAGGCCCAAATGGCTTTAGGGTACGTCTTCGTGAGAACGAGCTTTGGGTCACGCATACATGTCCTGGTGAAACGCCTGATTCTAGAAGAATCTGTGGCACCTTTACTGAACCTGGCCTGCCTAACTTGGTCGAAAGCGAGCGTAGGAAAGTAGGGTCATGCCCCAAGTCCCGCGCGTGAGAAATTGCCTGCACTCCTTCCAGTACCATGCCAGCCGCAGCTCTCGTAAACTGCTTCCTAAGTGAGGACTGCGAGGCCCAAAAAAACACAAGTGGGAACCGGAAACCGGCACTTTAACCTGTTTTGGCCTCGCGGAAACGTGCAACCCACCACAACAAAACACAACTCCCAAATAATGTGTTCCGTGCGAAACCATATGGAAAGTGACGGTATCAATCCACTGCCTAAGGTGCAGTGCGTCACTGAGGTTAAAGGTGTCACGACAGGCATTGAAAAGGCACGCTCGTGAAAGAGATACAGCTTGCCCACACCCTGACGGGACTCCTCCTGTGGGCAAACTTCCCCCATGAACAGCCTGGTCCAGGATAAGCATTCCTGGGCCTAAATCGGCCTCCACTGCAAGAGCACGTGTCGCATGGGACGTTCGTGGGGGCGGCTGGGAGAGCGACTCTGAGGCAGGAGTGTTGCTGGCGCCACGAGAGCGCCATGCCGTCATGTCAAGTCAGCTCGTGGCCTGAGCATCACTCCTAGCTGGCGCCGGGGCGACGAGCCCGAGACGAATCAAGACTGCGGCCAGCGCTGAAGCGAGAGCGCCGTGCCAAGACAGAAACGCGGCTGGTCTCAAAGCGAGAGCTCCTGTCCAGTCCGAGCTGGAAAAGTGGCCGGTGCCAAGGCGAGGGCACCGCTCCGAGCCAAAAGCGTGGCCGGCGCAAGGCGTGCGCGTGTATCCCGCGGGTCCCAGCTGAGAGGCGGCCGCCGCCGCCGCCGCCGCCACCCGCCCCCTAAGCCCCCCCCCCCCTGAGCGGACACCGTGTAGATGAACGCCACCCGATGCTCACTGCGGGAACCCTGTGGCGAAGCGGGGCTCGAGAGAAATGTTTCCGGGGAGGCTCGCCCAAGACTGGTGTCCGGACCCCTCTTCTCCCGAGCAAAGAGCCAGCAGTCGTAAAACAAATAAGCCCGACGTCAGGCAGTGTGGGCACACGGGTATGCCTAGCGCGCACGCTCTGAAGGTACTTTCGACGTGCCACTTCAGCGCGATCGCAGCACTCGGCAGGACTCTGCGACGCAACCCCGAGCAGCCCCGTGGTGGGCCGAAAAGAACCGTCCCAATCTGTTCCAGAGGGTACTGTGAAGCTTGGACGCAAAAGGCGGGTGAGTGGGGCGACAGGGATGGCTTTTCAAGAATGCAGGAGGGATTCTCAGAAGTCCTCCCGCCTTCTAGGAAGCCTTCTTGAAAGCCCCCGATCTGCTCTAAGAAGTCCTCCTGCCTTCCTGGATAGTCACCCCCTCGCCCCATCCCCTTGCACGCGTCGCCGCGGCACGCCCCGAAGGCACTGCAGGAGCACGTCGCGATGACATCGCTGCTGGCTCCAGACTCCGCGTGCATTGCTCAAGCCTCGGCCGACCCCAGGCCACCGGCGGCGTCCCAACCTGGAACGCCCGCGCTGGGGTGTGCTGCCGCGCTGACACGGACATCAGACATCCGATGCCGTGGCTTCTGCGCAGCGTGGCTCCCCGGACCAGCTTCTCATCCCGAGTCGTGCATTTGCGGGCCCCCAGAATGTACACCACCACCACCTCCTTTCCCCCTCCCTCCTCCACACTCCTCTTCCTCTCCCCTCTCCTGGGAGAAGGCGGGGATGAGGTAGGTGGTGTGAATATTTCTGGCCCCCGTACTATTGACGGCCCGATGGCCTGGCGAGGGTCGGCGGTGGCCGAAAACTGCCAAAAAAGTCCGTCGTGATTTCTTCGCGACGCGAGGGGTCTGGGCTGTCGACTTGTCCCCAGGCGCGCTTTGCACGCTTGGAGTGGGCAGGTAAGCTATGCGTACGACGTCCGACAAGAATCATCGGAGCCCTTCAGACAGCAGTTCTTGATTTGTTGTCAACAAACATTGTCCTTGTCCACTTGAACAACACGTGCTGTTGAATGGAGAAGGCTTGTTGTCAAAACCAGAGGGCTTGCTGTCCGATGGGGCCCCGCGGTCTGCAAACCTTTTTCCACCTGCACAAGCGCTGCCTGTGGGCATCGTGCCCAAATAGCCGATTCTGGAACCCCGAACCAAAAAACAATTATCATTTCTTGGAGGGGCGACGGTCACTTCCGCTGGCGGAGCCGCCCTCGTTTTACTCCCGCCAGCTTCCGCCGGCCTTCCGCCGCCTTCCGCCGAGGAAGAGATGGCGACCCCTTCGATCCCTGGAAGGCGAGGATTTTCTGGAGCGCCCCACGTGAACAGGCACTGCTGCTGGGCATCGTGCCAGTAAGGGGACCAAAAAGTGGAACCCCTTCGTTTCCGACCTCGTGTTCGCCCCCCTTCCCCCCCCAGACTCAAAGTTGGCGTCCAGCCTGCTGGAGGCCCTGGAGGTTCCACATGTATTCTGTCCTTTCGAGCCTGTGCTCCCGAATGCCCAGGGTCAACTATGAATAGAAGGGGGAAGGGGGGAGCGGCGCCACGGGTTGCACTTTTTGTCCATCTACGGTCCCGACCTTTCCCCTGAGGGTTGTGCACCGTCCCGGATCCATTTCTGATGGTCCCAGGGCCAGATAATGCCCTCCCGCGGACCGAAATTGAGGACCCTTCGTATCGTGGGAGATCTGGTGGGAGGCTGATGTTGGGCTTCGTGCCCATTCTTTCCGCCCCCATTCTGGGCGTGTCGGCGCGCGCCCGCAGCCCCCTCGAGGCTCGCAGCTGGTCGTGGCGGCGCCTCCGCCGCGGCGGCGCGGCCAGCTGCGCGGGCGAGGACGGCGGCCAGGAGCGCGGCCCCGGGCATGGTCCTGCGTGCCGTATTCCGCCGCCGGCGCTGACGCCGCCGCCGAGCGTCTCTCTCTCTCTCTCTTTTTCTGTCTTTCTCTCTCTCTCTCTCTTTTTTTTTTTTCTCTCTCTCTCTCTCTCTCTATCTGTAAAGTTATGTTGCTCCCATCGCACTTCAGGGCCACATCCCAGAAATAATTTGCAGCATCTAGAAAGTATCGAAACTGTGTCTGCCCAACACGCTGGCGAAGTGTCGAACGAGTATCGGCTCCCAGGGCCCGACACTTAAAAACCCTCCAGTTGGGTGCTTTCCTGGTGCTTGGCATTCTTTCTGGTGATCAAGGCGTCAAACTAGGTCGTAACATCAGACGTGTAGAAGCCTCCCATAGGGGATCCGAACACATGGGGTGGGAGGGTCGCGCCGCGTCGCCGAGGCATTGGCGATACATCACCGATGGATCGGCGATGCATCAGCGACGTCGGCGATGCATCGGCGACACTCGGGCTCCGCATCGAGCCGCATTGTCGATGCATCGGCGATGCGGCGCGACCCTCCGACCCCATCCTATCGGACACCATATGGGAGGCCTAGAGTGATTCAAGCGAAAGACCTGGCATCCTTGATGGCAGTTTGCCTGCCGGTCATCTGATGACGGCCGTGCCTCGCCAGTGGCCCTGGGCGCCCCCCCCCACTTCGACAACAAGCGCTGTTCCGCACAACCTGTGAGTATACTGGCTCCAGGTTCCTGAAGCTGCCTGCGCGCTCCTCGTCATGTAGATTCTTGACACCTGAGGCCTCTTCCCTGTTTCCTCCACCACGGCCGCCCTCCTCTTTCTATATATATATATATATAGCTTAGAGTGCCCATAGCCTGGCGCTGCCAACAGGCAATTTGAACGCGTTAGCGTCCGCTCTCGCTGCCGACGAAAGTGTATGTGTGTGTGTCACTTGCGTCACCACGTCGGCGCACCCCATTCCAGAGCTGGCCGCTGGTAAGCCGAAGCGAGGAGCTCCTGTTTTGGCGCGCCTCATGAATGACAAGAGTCGTTAGTTTCCGTTCCCTGCATGCCTCTCGTGGCACGCTTGGCTGTGTAGACCCACTCCTTGCTGACTGACTGCTCCTAGTCTCTCTCGGGCTCTCTCTCTCTCTCTCATTTTAGGACAAGGGCAGCTGCGCACTATCTTTCATCGTGGGCGAACGGGCCCACGTAAGATATGGTGCCCGAGCTGTGCCCGAATGGTTCCCAAATTGGATGTATGATGTTTCAATGATTATGTGGTACTGCGTTGTGTTTTCGCGCTGGCGTTTCAGTCTGCGAGGGCAGCATTGCGCGCGGCTCTGAATCGGGAGCCAGCGTCGCCACAACAACGGCGCACATCGCATGAGGAAGTGCGCAAGAGGCAGGGCCCAGGGCCCGAGGGATGGTGCACGGGGGTCTGGCCGGATCGCGGGGATGCGCGCGGGACAGATATGCAGGGCCCGGGAGCGCCCAAGCTGAGAGGCCGAAGTCGGCAGTCCTCTGCCCACGGCTGATGCTCCCAAACCTTCCCACTCCCAAATCCTCCCAAACCCTCCAAAACCCTTCTCACATCCTCCCAAACCCTCCCCAATCCTCCCAAACTCTCCCAAGTCTAGAATGGGCCAGGAGGCAGGGATGCAAGGGCACCTTTGCAACATGATCCGTGGATTGGGCACGTTGGTAGGGTGGGGAACAGACCCCCCGAAATGCCGCTCGAGTGGGCGGCGATGCGCGTCGACCTTTGTGTGGAGGCGGGGCCCGCTGCCCATCCACGCGCTTGAATCCATGCTAGCGTTTCCCTCACAGGGCCCAGATCCCTGGAGTCACGGTTTCTTCACAACGTCGACCCCAAAAGGTCTCGACGGCCTCGAGGCACAACAGAAGGCCCCCACTGGCTTAAAACAGCGACGAAAACCTTCCGAGGTGATCTTCCATGACTCGAGGAGGTCTTGGGAGGTGGAGAGAGCGGGGAGCGGACACAGGGCGACGAAATCTATATATGTCCACTGCTCCCTGGCCAGGCCCGTCCTGAACCCAGCAGCGGTGTATACGCCACGCCCTCGTGGCTTGGCCAGGAGGGCGTATACACAGCTCCTGGGCCCAGGAAGGGCCCGGCCAGGTAGACATGTGCAAATTTTGTCGCCCGAAGGCAGTGGTGACGACAGGGAGGCGGCGGTAAAAAAGGGACGGGGGCGGGAGCGGCCGCGGGCGGCAGCAGTGCCACTCGCCGCGCTGTCGGGCGGGGAACTCCTCAGGCGCGGCAACACATCACGCCGGGGGCTGGCCAGGCTCTTGTGGCCGTGCTGGTGGACCCGGCGTGGGGCGCTTGAGCACAAACTGGGCGTGGGCGCAGGCGCGCGGGGGGGGAGGCCCTGGCACGTGCGTAACCACTCGGGGCAGACGCAACCACGGGGGCCGCATGGTGTGGCCTCCTTCTCCCCGCCTCTTCCTCTGCGGCCTGCTTGTCGCTTTGTTTCCGCCTGCCCTCAAGGTTGGCGGATCAAACCAGATAACCCCATGTTATTTTCCACCCCCTGATCAGCGAGCACGAGCCGACCCCCCCCAGAAGAAAAGGGGCGCAGCGCGAACAACTCGATATCCGACTTGCCATGAGGAAGCTACGAGCAAAAAGCTCGAATAGGTAATCCGAGTGGCGGAATCCAGCTCGACGATTCCTTTAGCGTATATGTTGTGAGGAAGTGTTTGGCTTCCGACAAAATGATCTGATTGCGAAAGCCACAAGCCCATCGTTACTATTCACACTGAACTCTGGTTATTGGAACACCGAACACTCTCTGCATGCCCAATCACATCAGAGCTAAAATGTGCTGGCCAGCGAGGGCGCCAAACAGGGTGTTCCTAGCACTCTATGTTGTGCGATGTGTGTGGCGCAAGCTAGGTTGTCCACTATGTAGTGAAATCCGGGTGGTGCAATCCTTAATGTGCATTCTATATGGGGTGCAGCAAGTGGTGCAATCCATGTGATGCAACATATGCGGCCCAATATCTATTGTGCAAGCTACGCGGTGCAATGTAAGTTGTGCAATATAAGTGGTGCGATAAACACGTATATATATATATACACGTATACATATATGGTGTCTTCTACGTGGTGCAATCTATGTGGCATCGATCGGGTGAAATCTTGGTAGCGCGCTCTACGTGGCCCAGTATAGGTTGCGCAAATCCATGTGGTGCACTCAGTGCGGCTCGATTGTTTCTACAAACGAGTTGACACACCACAAGATCTTGGACACGTCCCACCCACCCTCCGCAACTTGGTTTGCAAAACCCAAGCGGTGGCGATTACGATGAGTGCTCGGTGTTGGCTGGTGCATCTCTGCGGCCGCGCCAACCCAAGCACGCGCACGCAACGGCCAGCTAGTTTGGCGCGACAAACGCGGCCGCGGTGGCGCTGACCGCAGGGCACATCCCAGCGGGCACTTCACCGCGAGTCGGCGACTTGGGCGGGCGCGGTATCATGGCAACTTCGACAACGGTATACACGATGTTGATAGTTGCGATGCTGGTGATGGTGGTGACAACGACGACGGCGCGGCCAATGCGGACGCCGATATCGATCACGCCAGCGACGATGACGGCGCCCCCGCATCGGTGATGCGGGTGTTTGATGGAGTTCGACATGAACGCGCGGCCGACGCGCGAGTGGCCCACATGGTAACATTTGGAACGGATCGTGGGCCCCCCCCCCCAGCACGCGCGCAAGGGCGTGCGAATGATTTCGGCATGCGGCGCCTGAGGCTCGTTTAACAAAATTCCATGAACAAATACGGTTCTTAAGAATTCGCAAGAGCGCGAGCGCACGCTTTTTGGAAAACTGATGTTGCGAAAACATGTTTTGTGTGTAAGTGTTTTGGGCACTCGGTTTTGCAATCGTTGCGGAACTGAAAGTTTGCAACGGATTCCGGCGTGCGGGCGCGACGACGCGCGCGCGTGCACCTTTTTGTTTAAATATGTATGATGTATGTATGTATGTATGTATGTATATATATGTCACAAGGATTCTCTCGACGACACGCGCGCAAGGGCGTTCGAACGATCTTGGCAGCATCTTCTAAAAATGATGAACCAACCATGGTTTTTGAAGAATTCGCAAGAGCGCGTGCGCAAGTTTTTTTGGTTGGCGACACCCCGTGTTTTACATGTTTCTTGGACACTGGATTTTGGAATCCTTACGAAACCGGACGTTCTTGAAGGATTCCAGCACGCGCGCGCGACATCGCGCGCGTTTGCACATCGTCTCATTTTTGGGAGGATTCTTGGAAACCGATAATTTGTGAGAAACGAGTGCGCGCGCATGCTATGTTTTGCAGATGTCGGCGGGGGGGCGGATACCGGCTCGGCTGGGATGGTACGGGCTCATATTTAGGATGGGCGATGGGGCAGGATCGTATGTAATTGCAATACGAAAAAAAGGGCGGATAATCCCGGGGGGGGATAGGTAGGATAGAGTCTGTTCTTTGAAGTAAGGCAGCTTAATTTCTGTTCGCAGTGAGTTCTCAACCCCACTGCTCGCGCAATCATCCCGCCCACCCACCCGCAACTTGGTTTGCAAAACGCATGCGGCGGCGATTGCGATGAATGCTCGGTGTTGGCTGGTGCATCTCTGCGGCCGCGCTAGCCCGCGCATGCTCGCGCGCGCAGTGGCCAGCTAGTTTGGCGCGACCGATGCAGCAGCGGTGGCGCTGACCGCTGGGCACATCCCAGCGGGCACTTCACTGCGAGTCGGCGACTTGGGCGGGCGCGGTATTATGGCAACGTCGACAACGGTAGACACGATGATGATACTTGCGGTGCTGGCAACGACGGTGACGGTGGCGACGGAACGGCCAGTGACGGTGACGAGAAAGAGACAAACGCACGTCGACCAGCAGAGATGTCGGAAACTAGCCATTGAAGACACTGTGCAGTACCCTTTGTGCGAGGCAGGGAAGCTGCTTGCGATACCAGTGAATAAGCAAACGCCTTGTGATAGCCGAAC